AAGCTGTGAACAATCTGTGACCATTAATTCTATAGTTGTGACCATAATATATTTAATTAATAAATATATTTAATTAATTCACTAATACCTGATTTATGAATTTTGAAACTTAAAACCTCAATATTGATTTGCCTAATTCCAAACACCTGAATTTTGAACTCTTCCCTTTTTGGTTTGTAATGGCCAAACGACCTTTATCAACTTCAATCCTAACCTGTATTTTGAATTTTAGGAAATTTCGCCTTAGGACACTTTTAAAGAATCTTGCCCTTTATTTTTGAATTTGCAAATAATTCCCTCTCCCTATGCCCCTGCATTTGAGAAATGACGAGTTGCTTCTATAAAAGTTGTACAAGGTGGACCACTGCATGGAGGGCACTTCCTCTATCTTCAACTAGAAAGCGGTTTATAGAACGTTTTCCAAGTGAAGTGAACCGCTTGAACTACGCAAACTAGACTACTGAGATTATCACCTTGAAAGGCGAACAAACAACTCCTAACCTCTGGGATTTGGTAAATGAGTAGTCTGAGGTTGATGGGCGGGTAGCATTGGAAGTAGTCGAATATTGCAAACAAAGCTTTTCTTTTTTCTCAATTAAACCAATTCGATTCTTTTAATTGTTCTTTTTACCTTACTAACGGCTACCTAAACTATAACTTTTTTTCAAACAATTTTAAGTACATGTACATTTTTTTAAAAAAATTATAATGGTTCTTAATTAAGCATTTAAGTGGGGGTGTGTATGAATTTAAAGCTAATTAAAGTGAAACTTTATTCCATACCACATTATCTTTGATTTTTAGGCAAAAGGAATCAAATCAGCTTTTTCATTCGAGGCACCATTATAATGTAATTAGTGATCAAAGCCTCGTTCTTAGCAATGCTCTTAGTTCTAGGAATCCTAATTGTACTCTCCCTCTATTTTTAAGAGTAATGCTAAGTACATCCTTCAACATTTTTTAGGTGAGTAATGATATTTATTATCATGATGATAAATCATTGGTGACGTGACAATTTACGTGGAATAATGAGATTAGACAATTCAATTTATACGAGAGAGAAGGGGAGCAGAGAGAGAGAAAAAAAAATGTGAGGGATAATGAGTTGTCACATTACTGATAATTTATCATCCTGACGATAAATATCATTATTCTTTTTAGGTTCTTAATATAAGTCTGTATTCTATGAAAGCCAGTATTCAAAAACTTGCCACAAAACGAGTTGCACAATGTTTTAGAGTGAACTTTTTGTTTGTTTAAGTCACACAAAAAGGTAAAGTGTAAGGCGCGACGAAAAGAGCAAAAAATTTAAAGTTTGAATGAACGTAGTGTTCAATTCTTTAATATAACGACTGTTAATGTGTGGTTTCGAAAATGTGAATGCTTTTCTTCATATTCCGAGCTCGTGAAATCAAAGTTTTGAGTATTGAGCAAGTTTTTATATTGTTCTTTACACCGTCTAATATAGGCATTGACGAAGCTTGAGTTGCACCACCGACACGATGCTTACATATCTATAAACACAATATATATATGGTAATATAAGTGGAAATTCATCCAAATAATCAAATATTATATAAATTTATGATCACTTATAGTGTATAATACATTTACCAATCACCTATGTTATCATGGAAATTGTATTGTCTTATAAAAAATAGCTTTTAGTGCATGAAAAATATACTAAAAATAATTTTTTTTTTAAAATCTGATTTTAGTATTGACTATATTTTATTTTGCACGGTTCACAAAAAATGTGCTAACAAATTTTGAAAATATATTCTAAAAAAATTATTTATTAAAAGGCCTCATCTTTAAAAGCAAGATACTAGTTTAAATATTACTAAATTAATTGGGAGAAAAAAGTAAAGTGGACTTGTGGATCATTAAAAGGTGGGGAAAAAGAAAGAACTCAGGGAATAAATTAGTGAATAACCTGCCAACTGATAAACACAACACAATACTTTTTCCTATTTTTCCCAATGTCCTACATTGGACCACAAAATACATTGCAATTAGATTAAAGTTAACAATTTATGTTCTAACAATTATGTTTAATTTAAATAATAGTTCATTAATTAGAGATACTTAGATTCCTTCTGCACCATTATTGTTTTATATGTTCTTCCTTAGTGTGTGATGTCTCCTTGTTCCCCCTTTCGTACTTCATTATTTTCGTCATCAGGATTGTACAAGGTCTAAATATAAGGGCTCGACGCATCAGGGGTGAAACTAGCATTTGGTGGGCCCTCACAGTTGTCAATGTTGACTCAACCGAATTTTTTCCCTTATATTAGGCAGCCACTCGATGGCCGCTCAAGCGGCTATCTCGTAGTTGTTCGTGCTCACTTGCATTACTAGACTTGCCACTACGCTACATGTATCGCGACTAGTTCAAGTGGTCCTACATTTTATTCCAAAACTTCTATGTAATCTTGTGAAAAAAGGAAGAATTTTTGCATGAAATTGCTATCTTAATTAGAATGGTGTTTTATATCTCGTATATTTTTTTTAACAAATCGAAGAATTAATGGATCGAACTTATTGTTGACAAACATTGAAGTATTTCTCTAAATAGAGAAAACACTCGATGAACTTGATCACATTGATACTGTAACTGAACTAACTACGTAAGGTCATTTTGCGAAATCTTCGTTGCTAACTTCTAGCAACTACTGAATTCGAATTTGCGACTAGATACTCTTACGATGATGGTCTTTTGACCGGAAACTTAATTGTTTGTACTATAAACATAGACCCAACATTAGTCGTGTTATGTTAACATAATTTTAGACATATCGAGCAATTGTGCGGGCCACACCCACCACCTCCAAGTATTTAGAAAATAAACTATACATGCATTTATTGAAGAGGGTGCTGTGCACCCAAATCTAGGATCAATGTATAGAAAGGCAAACCCCGCCCCCTCGCGGCACCACCCCACTCCATCCACCTATTTCAGTCCAATTTTTCTGGGACATTTCTGATTTATCCACTTCTGGATCTATTCTTCAATGGCCAAAAGCAAAAATCCTAGAAAACTCACAAAGAAACATCAATTTAATGAGAATATGTTTTCTCAGAATCATGAAAAACAACATTCATGGGTAGTTGTAAGAAATCTCTTCACCTGCAAATATGTGCAAGTACAACAACAGCAGCACAAGGAACAACAGAATCAGGAGCATCAAGATGGCCATAAAGAGAAAAGACAAGAACAAAAGCAAAAGCTAAAGCAAAAGCCACAAGAACAGCCACTGCCGCCACCGACGCCACCGGAGGAAAGCCACCAGAAATGCAAGAAAATAAAACAACCAAAAGAACAGCAGCCGCCCACACCCAACCAAATAAAGCGAAATCAAGAGCCACCAATGGCGGAGGAAAGCAATCAGAAATGCAAGAAAATGAAAGAACCAATACAAGAGCCGCCGCCGCCGCCGCCGGAGGAAAGCAACCAGAAAAGCAAGAAATTCAAACAAGCAAAGAGCGAACAAGCCCTGGAGGAAATGAACAAAAAAAGCAAAAAAATGAAGTGTTCAGGTTCACTTTGCAGCAACACAAAAATAATGCAAAGACCTGAACTTTCGTCACCCACAGAAACCCAGAAAAAAAGATCATTAATGGCATCTTCTTCTTCTGAGATTGATGGTTCAAATAGATCCACTAGAACTACATTAAGTGAACTGAATGGGACTGGGTTTTCATCTTCATCTTCTTCACTTTCAGTTTCATGTGCTTCACCTTCAATTTCTGGATCCTTCAGAGGAATGCCTTTTAGGAAACTTTCCGGTTGTTATGAATGTAGAATGGTAGTGGATCCTATTCTTGCAATGACTAGAGATCCCTCTTTAAGAGCCACGATTTCTTCATGCCCTGAGTGTGGTGAAATCTTCACAAAAGCTGAAAATTTGGAGCTTCATCAAGCTGTAAGGCATGCAGGTAATTCTCCATTAATTTCTTCTCCTTTGTGCACGTTTGGCTAAGTTTATAATTGCTTATAAGTAGATTAAACTTTATTTTTATTCACACATCTCATCTCATAGGACTCACAACTTATAATTACTTAAAGCTTTTTTCTTTGTTGGAAAAATCCACCTTTCAATTTAATCCATTTTCCCATTTTTTGTCTTTTTGGATAGTGAAAATAGATAGTATGACTTTGTTTACCCTACTATAAATATTAAAGAACATGTGACGATATTACTAGGAACGTTAGTAGGATGACTTAAGTACCATACTTAAAGTATATTGGATCGGAACATTCAAATCACGATAATTTGGACGCTGAGTGGGTCAATTTCCCACTCTATTTCTCTCTCATCCAATCGGTCTGATGCATCTGGATTTGAGTGATATGTAGTTCAAAATGTCGTAATTTGAGTAAATGGTCCCAACAGACACTCTCATACTACATTCACATTAAGCATTTCTGTTTACATGGAGATAGAGATTTTTCATTCATACAAGTGACACGAAATAATTAAATTTTTATTTAAATTTCTCGATAGAATAAATTAACAGAGCAGTGAAAAGGAATCCGTGCAGTATGCTCAACAATTTAAATTTGTGAAAATGAAAATTTTTAATTTTTAATTTTGTAGTCAAACTTTTTGCTTTTATTGATGATTTCAATGCCTAGTTGTGCATAACCAATGAACAAAATAGTACCACATTAATTAACTTTCCTCAAATCTATATGCCTTGTTGTCATCTACTCCTTATTTAGATATACTTAAAACACATTTTTCATACTACGACCACTTTTTCCAACACCTAACAAATGTCCTATTTCTCATAGGGGCACAAATTCACAAACACTACCATACAAGACAACATTAATAACAATTAAGAATGAACCTCGTTGACGCGAGATAAGTCAATGTCATGATTTTTGAAACGTTAAGTTAATTTTGAGACTTTTTTAGGAAGCAGAATTCTCGTCCAATGGACTCTCACTTTAATTCGAGGGTTACAAATAACTAACGACTTTAAACTTTTTCCTTTTTTTTTTGTTTTTGGGAATTGGGACCTATAGTTTCTGAATTGGGACCAGAGGACACAAGCAAGAACATAGTGGAGATCATATTTCAGTCAAGCTGGCTAAAGAAACAGACCCCAGTGTGCAAGATAGATAGAATTCTCAAGGTCCAAAACACTCCCAAGACAATATCAAGGTTCGAGGAATACAGAGACAGCATCAAGGCTAAAGCCACCAGGCTCAACAAAAAGCACCCCAGGTGCATAGCCGATGGCAATGAACTCCTTAGGTTCCATTGCACCACTTTCATGTGCTCACTGGGCCTAAATGGCTCATCGAATTTGTGCAACTCGATTCCGAGTTGTAATGTATGTAGCATTATCAAGAATGGGTTCAAGGTCAACGCTGAAGCCGTGACTGGATTTTTACAAAAAGGTATGTTACTTGGCATATTACCACTTATTGTCTTTTCTAGAGGTGTCAAAATTTGATTGAGTTGATTGTATAGACCGCACCGGATTTTGTGGTGGTCGGGTCAAGCCTAGCTTGTCATGATTCTCGGCGACTCGTCGGTCTGTCTCGTATAGTTGTCTCGACCGGGCCAAACTAGACCGGTTGAGGGCAAAACATGCCCTGTTTTTTCGTGATCAACCCTAATTTGTTACGATTTCTTATTGCATGACTCTCTTGTTAATCAGTTAGAGGCAATATGCATTTAATAATTATGTCTTTCGACAGGTATATTGACAACTGCTACTAGTGGAAAAGCGCACGACCGTGCACGAGTGGGATCGGACAACGGAAGGAGGGCAATGCTGGTTTGCAGGGTAATTGCAGGGCGAGTGAAGAAGAATATGGAGGGGAGCATGGAAGAATATGACTCTTTAGCTGGAGTTGCTGGTACTTACCCAAATTTGGATGAGTTGTATGTTTTTAATCCTAAGGCTATATTGCCGTGTTTTGTTGTAATCTATTCAGGGTTTTAGATGCTCAATCATTTGGAGATGGTTGGCCTAAAATGACAAGCCAGATTATTGTCAAATTATTAAGTATTTCATCAATGAATTCGTCTAAATTGTTGAATCTCGGATATGATCAACTTTTATCAAGGATAAAAGAAAATTTCAAAGAAAATTAGAAGAATGCATGGTTTTGATATTTAATCAACGTGCAATTTACCCTCAAAATGGTCCGTGAGATGGTGACTTGTTTGTGAACACTTATATTTAAAATCTGTATATTCATTATGGAGTTTTAGTCACATCAAATTTTTTGTTAAAAACTTATTAAGCTCTGAAACCACATAAAAACTCAGAATTTCATCCTAAAATGTCAATCTTGTTAAGAAAAGCAATTCAAAATATACTTAATATAGTTGTTGAGAATAAAAAAACTAATTCTACCATCCAGAGCAATAAAATCGCAAAAAGAAAATAGATACAAGAAGATGCAAGACTTTATAGAGGTTATTATACTCAACGTGAGAATATACTATCTGCCGCTGCACTAATTCATTATGATGAGAAGAAAATTTATAAGAGAAATTCGTACACACTATCTTCTCTAGCATTTCTCTCTTTTTTATGGTAATACAAAACCCTATCGACGACTCCCTATTTGTAAGTGAAATTAAGACAAAACCAAAATTATAAATGTGAAAATCCCGAGCAGTCGTTAATGAAATTCCACGGGGGTTTCACCACCCGCACCCCGTTCCTGCTCCTATGCACGGAAGCAATAATAGTTTCTATAACTTAACAATCGAAATTGAATCAATATAGGGTTTTACCTTTTAACACACAAATAGTTCTTGTAGCCCTTTTTTGGCTCTATTGAGGAAGTGTTGCTTATTAGGAACCTTTTAACAAGCAAATTTAATCAAGATTATTGCAGTCGACCCTAAATTTATGGAATTGAAATGATAGGTATCACATACTCTTTTGGACATTGAAGACTCATCAGTCTCATCTGCTAATTCTGCAGTTTGTCAAGTGAATATTCTTCAACCTTGAATAATTCCTCTCTTCTTACAGTGTTTGGTACAATGTTTTGTTCTCTGACTCTGTCTTTTAGCCTGGATCAATGGTCGCGCATGTGTTCTTGGATTGTGTTACGTTTCAATCCTAAGTGTTTTCTCTGCTTTTTTGTACTATTCGTTTGGCTCATTATTTGCACATAATGACTTTGTTTGATTAAAGTGAAGCACTTGAGTATGGGCAAGAGATTAGCAATTTTAACCTTGAAAAAAGTACACTTTCTTTGATAAGCACATTATTTCAGATGAAAGCATAAACCACGATTTATTGTTCTTTTCTTTTTTCTTTTTTAAAAAAATATTATAAATCAGCGTAGACAAGATGATAATGATAGAAGACGAGTTACAAATAACTAGAAAAGAAAACAATCTATACAAATTATATGATCGAAACCATTACCTACTACTTAATTTATAATAATTTCTTCGTTAGAATTTGAAGTAAAAAATGAAGGTCGTGATAACTATCTGATGGGTAGAGTCTAATTTATTGTTCAATTTTTCTCGTCCTAAATTTTTTTATATATGTAAAGGATACAAAATTACAAATATTGAGAATAAGAAACTTTAATTCTATACTACTAAAAACAATAAAATATCATGAAAAAAATAGACACACAAGAACATGAATGATTTATATAGATTCACTTCAATGTGAGACTCCGTCATTGTCTACCACTATAGTAATTTACTATGATGAGCAGATATTTATATGAGAAATTTCGCACTTTTTATTTTCTCTAATATCTCTCTTCTTGATGATGATACAAAATCCTAATGACGACGCCCTATTTACCATACAAATTAGGATAAGACCGAAATTATAAGTGTCGATTTGCGTACGACTCTTCACAACTACGATAATTAAGTTCCACAACTTAACGTGAACCTTTTTGCTTGGTGGAGAAGAAAACAACAATTCTCTCTCTCTCTCACAAATTACGTGTTCTTGATATACATTAGATTACAAGGAATGGATAACAATTATGCTACTTGTACAAAGGTGACTTACAAAAGTGTATTGACAAAATGATGTGGCAAGGTCTAGATCATTGATTTCAAAAACTGTTTTTTAAATCATTGGCCAAGATGTTGTTGACATGTATTTTGTAAACCAATTTTGTAATCTAATTTTGTACAAATAACATGACTCGATGGATAAAGAGTAATTATAGAGGGCACAAGTAAATTTCTAGAAGTGCTAACTTAACAAATTAAATAACAAAAAAGTAAAAGGTGCAGATAGAAAGCCTCGAAAGATGCACCTGCCCGATAAAAATGAGGTTCAAACTCGCATTCGACTGTTAATCAAACGGTAAATTGTCAGAACCTATGTTAATTTAAGTCATCTCATGGGTCTGCATACTATTTAAACTCTTGAATCCAAATGCCAATCCAGTCTCTCGTAATAACTATAATTGCGGTTTTGAATGTGAGTAAACTAATATGAGTAGATGCCCTTACGCAGGAACGGATTACAGATCGGATTAATACGTATTTTTTTTTTTTCACATAATTTTTTTTTCTACCTAAAAATATTCAGTGACCTGGGGCTGGGGCTGGGCCAGGCTGCCCCTCCATCCGTCCCTGCCCTTACGGGTATTAATCTTGTCGTTGACAACACGACTTGAAGAAGGGTAAGAGTAATTTTATGAAGTCAGTCAAATGTAAATTTGAGTGTCGTAAATAGAATGAAATATGACGAATCCGTCTCCAAAAAGAGTCAATATGCAGAGTCAAAATAATTCGTAAACAAAAGAACATGGGATGTAAATGATTGCTCAAGAAATTAAAGCAATAATGCAAGAGGAGAAAGTAATTTCATCGCATTGAAATTGTCAAGGCAATATTATGAGGGGGGACCTTGGGTGTTGAATATATATATATATACAATGGTCAAAGGAGGAGTAATCATGTCAATTATCCAAATTTGGTGGACCTCCCTATGTGCAATTATATTTGAAGAAATGACTAGGAAACATAATATGCGTTCAACAATATTCTTGATTTACATGAGATAAAAATTTATCTAACAATAAAGAAAAAGATTTAGGCCGAAGTGAAAAATTGAAGTCGATGAAAGTATAGATCATGTTATTGAGATTCAACACATAATAAAATGTTGTAAAAAATGAATGAACCTCATAATTAATTTATGATAAGTCTCAATATTGGAATTAAAAATTTTATTTATTTGACATTTTTTTTGTTGAAAACAATGAAGACGATATCAGATTGCTCGGATATCAATTTGTTGAAGAAAATATGAGATTATGGACACAATATAAAGTAGTTGATCACAAGGACACAAGAATAAAATAATTCACAGAGTAAATGAGATTTCACTAAAATATGTAGAAAAAATACAGAGATTTTGTGTTTACAACATTATCTAACTTAATTGACAATACAATAAAGAGCTAAATATATGTAGGGGACGTCCAAAACCCTAAAAGTAGAGTTATAGATGGAAAGAAACGTTCAAAACGCAAAAAGGAGCTTGGCCGGACGAGCCGTCGCTCGAGCTCTCTAGCTTTAGGTATAGAATTTCGACGGCGTCGCTCGAGTGGTAGACTAGCAGCCAGCTAGCGGAAAAATGCCGAAAATTTCTCCCTGATCCATATCTTGACATTTTCAAATTCAATACAAATTTCAACCCCCAATTGAGCTTTCAAATAGAGTTTCAACTAGAATTTGTCGAATAGATTTTGAATAAAATTCCAAGTAACATTCCAAATAAAATTCGAGTCACATCCTAATTCTAACATTTTTAATCACCAAACTTGCTTAGATATTCAACTCGAGAATAGTCTAATTGCGTATAAATCGGGAAAATGAAGAAACGTCGCTTGCTTTAAGACACCAAAGAATTTTAGTTTATTTATTATACTTGTCATATCAAGTTGACTATTAAATATAGTCCAAATAATTTATTTTAAAAAAAGATGACGATGAATAGCAACGTCAACAATTAATAAAAAACTGCAATTCCATAATTGTTGGCTGAAAATCGGATTAAGTAAAATAAAACAAAATAAATTCTATCATATTTGATGTGAATATTTTCTACTTGGGTGTAAAATAGGTAGTTGTGTCAATCAAGTATTAGAGTGTGCAAAAAATAGGTAGCAGTTGGGGTCGATAAAACTTGTAATCTCCCAGTTTACCGATATTTAGATTGAATCATTTCATTTATAAGCTTTTGAACATAATTAGAAAGTTTTTCAAAAGTGCTTTGTCTGGTTACAAGAACTTTTAAATGAAATTTACCTCTCAAGAAACTCTTCTAAAAAAAACAGAAGCAAAAATAGGCGCACTTTAAACTGTATTATGTAGAAGTTGAAATGATTGAATTGTTACTGAGAATTCGATAGATGGAAACTGATCTTAGAGTGATTAACACATAGTTAAACAAAAGATGGAAACTCCATTATCGAGAAAAGACCAAACAGGGTGGGATTAAAATAAAAAAATTAGTAGATTTTGATACAAAATATATGATTAAAATTTATTGTTGACTTTGCTTTGAATTAAAATTTAAATTTTAATCACTACCTAACATGGGCCAATTTTGAAACCAGACTACGTACAAAACGAAAAACATCCAATTTCTCACATCAAAACAAGATATATAAAACAAGAAGGGAAGGTACACAATCATGTCTAATACTGCCTACAGAACGGAAAAAAAAGGCTCGAAAATACCGTTAGCAAGAAATCCATTTTGAAACACTCTCCGCCAACAATAATTTATCAATCGCAGCTTTTTCTCCAAACCTATATGAAATTCTCAATTCTCCTTGTGAATTCACACAGCCCTTTTGCACAGGAAAAGTCGTTACTGCACTTCCACCACTAGAGTATGCATAGTCAAAAAGCTCTTTCATGGGAGTATGAACTTCACCAATATACCTGTCCCCCAGTTTCCTTTTGCAGTACAATTTTATAACA